TAGACTAGTATAATAGAGGTATACTTAGGGTTAATAATAGTAATAAGGTCTTAGGTATAAGCTATTTTTTACTCTTAGGCAAAGGGCTTTAGCTAAAAGCAAAGGGCTATAATATAATAAGTTAGTAATAAATTAATAGTAGGTCTATATATATATATATATATATACTTATAAAGATAATTTACTAGTATCTTTTAATTTTAATTATCTTTAATTAATAAAGACTATATTAGTAAAATAATTACTTTATAATAATAATATATAATAGTAAAAAAAAATACTTATAATACTAAAGAAGAGGCCTAAAGAAAAAAGAAAAAAAGAAAAAACATTAGGTAGTTTATACTAGGTAATAACTATAGGCTAAGTTTCTATAGTTATATATAATAGAGGGCTAGTAAGGCCTAGAAACCTTATTTTTTTAACTACTAGTAAGGAGAAGGTATATATTATAGGCTAAAGCTATAGTAAGTATAGTAAGGCTTTATCTACTATAATATATAAGCTAGTAAAGTAGGTGCACTTAGTTAACGCTTAGTTAGTACCCTTATTTAACCTTATGTATATAATGTATATACTACTATAAATAGCCTTCCCTCCTTAGTCTAGATTAATTATATTAAGTTACTATACACCTATTAAAAGGTAGTACTAACCCCTTATAGTAACCTCCTATTTAGCTATTTACTTCTCTAACTCCCTTATATATATAATCTTATAATCTATTACTTTTCTTATAACCTTATTATATTTAGCTATAGCTAGCTTCTTTTCCTTATATAGTAGTATACTAACTATAGCCTTAAGGTTCTTTATTTATATATATATAGGCTTATTATTATTATAGTAAATTACTATAGCTATAAGGTCTATAGTTAATTAGATCTATATTACTAAATCCTTAACTACCTTTCTATTACTCTTATATTCCTAGTATTCTCTATTATAGACTTTCTTATTATATTTAAGTTATTTAATACTTTCTTTACTAAGTTATAATATCTTTGTTACCTAGGCTTTATTTAGTAATAGGGCTAGAGATTCCTCCTCTATATAGTCCTAGATCTATTAGGTAATAGCTAATTACTTTATTATATAGTCTAATAACTTTAGTGTCTTTAGTTAAATACCTATAGACTTTATAGTCTAGATCTAGGCTCTATTAGTAATTAATAGGTTAATTTCTTCTTATATACTTAATAATAATACCTTTTACCTTAATTAAGCCTACTATTTACCTTAATTAGTAAGGGTTCTTAGTGTTACTATAGAGGTAGCTAACTTATTAGTTATAATAAGGGTTAATATATATATTATATATATACTATATATTACTTTAATTAGTATTAATTAGTAACTTACTAGTTAGACTATTAATTGTTAAAGTGTGTAAATACAGCAGTTAATTACAACAATATCCCTGGTTAATTAGGCGTATATATTAATGGTGTATTGATTGGCGAATTTGCTATAATTACTGCCTGGAATTTGTGGCCTTTAACTAATGCATTTGTCATCTAAATTGCCACTTTTAAGTGGGGAAATCCATCCATCTAATGACGGCAACATTTGACCCACTTTTGCGTATGGCCAATTGCCACACTTTGAGGGTAGACAGTTGGTAGGGGGGTATTGCAGCTTCGGGGGGGGGTGTCCGGCCAGTGGGGCAGAAGTTCAGGGGGGGGTAAAGCCCTAAGCACCGTGTAGATTAAAAAAAACTAACTAAAGGATACTTAGCATATGCTAAGCATATGCTAAGTATATACTAATAAATATAGTGTCTACCTTCTATGAATATAGAGGACTTAGTAAGAAGACTTAGGTCTAAGTCCTCTATAGTTATAGAAGGTAAGTACTATATTTGAAAGTATATACTCAGCATATGCTTAGCATATCCTATTAAATATAGTAACTAGCCTCTATAACTATAGTAGACTTAGACCTAAGTCTTCTAACTAAGTCCTCTATATTTATAGAAGGTAGACACTATATCCATTAGTATATACTTAGCATATGCTCAGCATATGCTCAAGCTCTCGCACTTCTCACACTCTAAGCTAAGCCTAAATAAGCCTGATAACCCTAACCCTAGCTACTTTACCCCCCCCGAACTTTTCGGCCCCACAACGGATACCCCCCCCCGAAGCTGGAATACCCCCCTACCAACTGTTCTCCCACACTTTGACACTACGCACTTTAACAAGAATACCCCCCTACGAACTATTCTCCTGTTAAGTTAGACATTATTAAGCGGCAATTTAGTTTGCTTCGGGCCGAGGTGGACCTTTGGCCTGTTGATCCACCGCTGAACGCCACCACGCCGGGCGTCGCTACCTGACCTCCCCTGGTTAAATGATTGACTTGCACTAATGGCTAGGCGCACTCTCGGACTTTTAAACCAATCCGAACCCACTTCAACGGCGAACGATGATTATACCCCTCTTTAGGGAAAGGCAGCACTAAACGAGTATTTAGTCATCACCTGGTCCGGCCATTAATGCTGTCATGAACACAAATTTCTTCTTCGTACCAGGTTCGTCTTATGCCTGATTTATACCCGTCCGCAAACGCTACTATGGAGGCAGCAAACCTTACTAACTATGTGCCCGACACTCGGGATGAAATCTCTCTCCTTGGTAGAATGGACTTTTGGACGACGCTAGGCGTCGGCGTTGGCGTTCTCCTCCTCAGCATCGTCACTACTGTATTAACCCAACTGCGCAGGCCCTCTCGGAAGCTGCCCCTGGTCAACAAAGCGCCGCCGTTGGACTTCTTCGGCAGTACACCGGCTCAGAAATTCACCTTCAACGCCCGGAGGCTCTTTGAGGAGGGGAGGAAGAAGTTTCCCACCCAGCCGTACCGGATGATGACAGACGTAGGCGAGATCATCATCCTCCCCAACGAGTTTGCCCACGACATCCGTAACGAACGGGCGCTCAACATGCCTCAGGCACTCGCACTCAACTTCCAGTCCCAACTGTCAGGCTTTGAGGGAATCGCCATAGCAACTAGGCCTGACGAGCTCTTCCAGCGCGTCATCTCGAAGCATGTTACAAAGCTACTAAGTAGGTTATATCCCGCATGCCGTTATAGTTTAGTGTACCCCTATACCCTCATCCGAAGACCTAGCGCATAAAGAAGAGTGTAGTAACTACTTTGATATATTTATTAAGTCTTTCTTTTGTGATTTATAGACTCAGTAACCCAGCCTCTGTCCGCTGAGGCAGCGTTCGCTTGCGACCGGATTTTTGGTTCATCAACTGGTAAGTACTTAAACTAAATACCTCCCTCTCTACACCTAAAGGCGTTTCTAGGCTAAATTACCATATACTACATAGAATGGCAAGAGCATAAAATCTATGATAGTGCCCTTGACCTCATAGCCCGTATGTCCTCTCGCGTCTTCCTCGGGGGGAACCTGTGCCGCAATGAAGAGTGGCTTAGTATCACAAAGACACACGTTCTCAATGCATTTTCCACTGGCCAGATGCTGCGTAAGTACCCTTATTGCGCCCGCTTTGTGGTGCAGTGGTTCCACCCAAGGTGCAGGGCTTTGCGCAAGCAGGTGTCTAGGACAAAAAGCATTGTTGAGCCCGAAATCCAGCGGCGAAGGAGACTACGCGAACAAGCCCGGCAAGAGGGGAAGCCAGAGCCGAGATTTCCTGACGCCATTGACTGGTTTGAGGAAGAGAGTAAGGGCCAGGAGTATTGTGTGGCTGGCGCGCAGCTAGGTCTATCCCTTGTGGCAATCCACACCAGTACGGACCTGCTTGTTGAGACTATGTTGTACCTTGCTAAAGACCCAAGCCTTATCAATGCTCTGCGGAAGGAGATTATTGAAGTCTTGAGTGCTGATGGCTGGAAGAAGACGGCGCTGTTCAATATGAAGCTCATGGACAGCGTCCTAAAGGAAGCTCAACGGCTCAAGCCTACTACTATTGGTAAGTAGCTCCCCCTCCTCTTCCCTTTAGAAGTGTTTACACCTTCCCCTATTAAGAAGAAAGGCTATACTAAACAACACCTAGCTATTATGAACCGTGTGGCTACCCGCCCTGTGACCCTCCCCAACGGTCTCCAGCTCCAGAAGGGGGAGACCACTACGTGCGACATCGGGATGATGTACGACCCAGCCATCTACCCGGACCCAAAGACTTTTGACCCGTACCGCTTCCTTAGAATGCGCGAAGACGCCGCCGCCGGGGGGGTCAACAACCCTGCCGCCAACCTCGTCACCACTTCGCCTACGCATCTGGGCTTCGGCCACGGCTACTACGCGTGCCCAGGCCGCTTCTTCGCCAGCAATGAGCTCAAGGTCGCGCTAGTGCATCTGCTGATGAAGTACGACTGGAAGCTTACGCCAGGGTACAAGCGCCGCTGGGTCGAGGTGGCCTTGGCGTGGGGTACGGACGACTCGGCCAGGCTGCTGATGAAGACGAGGGAGGCGCCCGAGATCGATGTTGACTTTATACAATGATGGGTGTTTGCTGAAGTTTGAGTCAAAAAGATCATGTGTGCGGCATTCATCTATTTTTGTTTGCTTTATTTGATGAAGGAGGGGGAGGCAGAAGAGAAAAGGGCAAAGTGGTAAAAGAATTTATTGGCTAGCAACTTAGCTCAAGTATGATGTATGTATACGCTACAAACGTTCTGTTAGGAACAGGTGATTTTTCTATCTGTGAACAAGGCAACATATCTTATCTGTGTTTGACCTACGCTATTGTTCTTCTTTGTCTAGGGGAGTTACTTGTTCGTTTTGTGTCTTTATTCATAGAAATGCTGTGGGGAGAATATGAATAATAGTAAGAACAAGATTGTACAAAATAGTAATAAATTGATTAAAGTACACCTGCTTCTGGAGAGGTTATTGTTTAGGTACAGTGTTATGTTACAGCCTAACAAGGACAGAGTCAAAACATACTAGACAAGGCGTATAGGCCGCAGATAGTGTAACATTTGAGAAAAGGTAAACCTGATTGTTAACCTTATAAACAAGTCTGGCCTTAGCAGTCTACTACTACAAAGTACAAAGACATAGTAACTCAAATACCCTACTTGCGGGACACCCCCACATCCGGGCCATCATCACCACCACCATCACCACCACCATCACCACCACTATCACCACCACTATCACCACTTATTTCACCAACTCTGCCGCCTACCTATATGCAACTCCTGGCCTCGCTGGATAATTCGGATGCGCTGGATTCATCCGGACTATCCATATCGCCGATATCCGGAGTTTGCGCCCGCCGGATATCGCATATAGTGGCGAAGGTGCTGTTAGGCGATAGGGGGACCTTTTTGGTATAGGCAGTATTTTTGCTTTGCCGCCCATGGAATCGATAATGAAGTGACTGGTATAGTATACCCTATTTCCGAGCAGCCTGGCGAATAGGTTAACTATCTAGTACGTCGTTAAGAGCCTGTTAGAGCTTATAATGTTGTGATAGTTTGAAAAAGGTAGTGATGTTGATGAAGGAGGAGAAATGCGGGATTTTCGGGTGGCCCGGATGGGGGTATCATAGAAGTGGGGTATTTGAGTTGGTGAGGAGGACACTAGACAACTATTAATCTTGTGTTAGCTTACAAGGATCTAACGAACTTAATGGCTAAGTCTATAATACATAGCATAGAACACAGAATAGACTACTGTATAATTAAAACAGTTAAATGTCCTGGTCCTAGTACTATTAAAGTGCTAGGCTATATAGTAGTTATTTAAAATATAAGAACTTAAGTATATCTCTACTTTTAATATATACCTTACTTATGTACTACGTTATAGTAATAATCTGTACTAAAAAAGATATAAATCACTTATATGTATCTTTAGCTGTTTACTATATTCTAGCCTAAAACACCTGGCTCTTTTGCTAAATGTATTTGTTATTATATTTCCCACTTTTAGGTAGGGAAATCTATCTAATCAATGTGTGCGACATTTCTGCCCCACTTTAGCTTGTATAGCCAGTCGCTTATTGCTGATTGCTACACTTTGACAAGAACGCCAAGAAAGGGTTCCATCTGCAGTAGGGCATTGCCAAGGAAGATAGCCATGTTCAGGTTCCTGTTTCCTTCACCGCCAGATACTTGACGGAGTCTTGGCATACTATCACGTGCGCTCAAGCAAGTACCTAGGCTCAATAAGTAGAGTAGAGGCGGGGAAAAAAACGTCACCTGAGTTTGAGAAGTCCTGATAGGGATGAGGCTCTAAGTGGCGGTGCGTGCTTTTTATTAAGACATGTAATATATATCTTTCCTTCAGCTTTGATACGTAGGGTTGTTTATTTTATTGTCCAAACTTCTGCCATTTACTCAGGGTACGCTCAATATCTAGGCGTCACGTAATGAACACATGTTGACGTCAGGGTGGGTCAAGAAAGGAACTCAATTGCAAGAATTGAACATCGGGAAATCTTGGCGACCTTGGCGGAGCTCAATTGCAAAAATTGAACACCGGGAAATCTTGGCGGCCTTGGCGGAGCTCAACGTGTATATGAACTCGCCAGGCCCGCCCCCGAAAACTCTGCGTTGGTTTTTATAATATTCTGACATTTCTCACGCAACTTGTCTGTCGAGCGAACAATTTGTGTACTCATTCCTTTGGCTCTCAACCGCCTTCCCTCTCCTCGAATCTTCATCCTACTGGAGTTACATTTATTACCAACTTTACCCTCCTCTCCGTTTACTCGCCGCAAGAGGCCCACCTTTACCGATTCAATTACACTTGTACTCCATGGAATTTGCTACTGTTCAGGACCTGCTCCGCGTTGTCGTCTGTGCTTCCGCCTACATGCGACAGCTCACCACCACACCCAGATAGAGAATACCAGCCTCGAGAATTTCACCAACTCAGGAAAACAAAAACGAAAAGAAGTCAAAAGAAGCATCATCAGTTAACGCTACTTAAGTAAAAACTTGCTGATTGCAATTTACATTGTCGAGGCTTTTTATCAAGCTTTCTTGTCTTTCTCATCATGGGGTCTAGCAAAGCTAAGCAGTCTGCGGAGCACGTCAGCGGGCAGTCTAACCGCCCTATGTCGCAGCCCGCCCACTGCCTTAGTTTGGCTGAGGTTGTCGATGAATTGAAAGCAGACCAGACCAATGGCCTTTCAATTGACGAAGCAGACAGACGACTCGCGGAGTACGGTAAGAACGACCTCGGCGAGGCCCAGAAGGTGTCCCCTCTGCGCATCCTCGTCGCGCAGGTTGCCAATGCCATGACCCTGGTGCTTATCTTGGCCATGGCTGTCAGTTTCGGCATTAGGTCTTGGATCGAGGGCGGTGTTGTTGCCGGCGTCATTCTCCTCAACATCGTCGTCGGTTTCTTCCAGGAGTTTTCCGCTGAGAAGACCATGGATTCTCTTCGGTCATTGAGCTCCCCTACTGCCCGTGTTATCCGTGACGGACAGTGGCAAACGATAGCTTCATCTGATTTGGTTCCCGGAGACCTAGTCGAGCTCAAGATGGGCGATACCATTCCAGCCGATGTTCGGTAAGTTGACATGGGCATGCCCCATAACATGGACAAGTGTATTGACGAGATACCCACAGCGTCTTTGAGGCGGTCAACTTTGAGACGGATGAAGCTCTTTTAACGGGTGAATCTCTCCCTGTTCGCAAGAAGGAAGACGTTACTTTTGAGCCGTCAACTGGTCCTGGTGACCGTCTGAACGTCGCCTACAGCTCTTCCAACGTTACCAAGGGTCGTGCCAAGGGCATCGTGTTCTCTACTGGCTCCTACACCGAAATTGGTGCTATCGCTGCTCAACTCCGACAAAAGGAAACCAAGATCCGCGAACCCAAGAAGACCCGCGAGGACCCCAATGCGCGCGCAAAGCCTCATCGTTACCTCGAGGCTTACCTGTTGACCGCCACCGATGCGGTCGGCCGTTTCCTTGGTCTAAACGTTGGAACACCTCTTCAGAGGAAGCTGTCTAAGCTTGCTGTTCTGCTGTTTTTCGTTGCCGTCATATGCGCTATCATTGTGCTTGGAGCCAACGAGTTTCGCGCCACCCAGGATGTCATTATCTACGCAGTAGCTACCGGTTTATCCATGATCCCAGCCAGCTTGGTAGTTGTCTTAACAATTACTATGGCTGCGGGTACCAAGCGAATGGTGAAGAGAAGTGTTGTCGTTCGTAACCTGAAGTCTCTCGAAGCTTTGGGTGCCGTCACCGACATTTGTTCTGATAAGACTGGCACTCTCACTCAGGGAAAGATGATCGCGAGGGGCGCCTGGATGCCATCGAAGGGCACCTTTATCGTCGAGAACTCTACGTCCGCGTTAGATCCCACGGCCGGAGATCTTCGCTTTCACATCTCGTCCCCTCGTGCCATCGACCTTAGGAAGGGTGGAGAAACTTGTGGTTCCATTATAAAACCCAAGGAACATACTTCCGGCCCTAATACCGGCTTTGGCTTAGCGGAATTTCTGAATGTCGCGTGCCTTGCCAACCTCGCTATCGTCAAGAAGAACAAGGAGGGTGCTTGGGAAGCTCATGGCGACCCTACTGAGATTGCCATTCAAGTCATGGCTAGTCGATTTGGCTGGAACCGCGTCGCCTTGACTGGTGATGAAAGTTCTGAGTGGAGAGACGTTGCCGAGCTGCCGTTTGATTCGGACGTCAAGCGTATGTCGGTCGTCATGAAGAACAAGGACGGTACTTACCACGCCTTCACCAAGGGTGCTGTTGAACGGGTGATTGAAAGTTGCACCACCTACACCCCTGATAGCTCTGGCAGCCTTGTTGATATCAAGGATTTCCGCGACGAGATCCTTCAGAACATGCAGGCTCTAGCCAGTCTTGGTCTCCGTGTGCTCGCTCTCGCTAGCAAGCCGATGCCTGGTGAGGTCAAAGTTGATGCCGAGACCGGAGTCGACAGATCTGCCATCGAATGTGATCTGGTATTCCGTGGCCTCGTTGGGCTTTACGATCCGCCTCGTCCCGAATCTGCCCCCGCTGTCAGACAGTGCCACGAAGCTGGCATTGAGGTCCACATGTTAACCGGTGACCATCCTGAAACTGCCAAAGCTATCGCCATGGAAGTCGGAATCTTGCCTTCCAAGATGCATCTCGTCGCGAGAGACATGGCCGATTCAATGGTGATGACTGCGACGCAGTTCGACGCCCTCAGCGACGATGCTGTTGACGACCTCCCTGTCTTGCCCCTGGTTATCGCAAGATGTGCTCCTAGCACCAAGGTCCGCATGATCGAGGCTCTTCACCGTCGCGGACGTTTCTGTGCAATGGTAAACCCCATCCTTGGACATGCCACATTATTTTTAGGCGTCACTAACTTTTGAACTCTCACAGACTGGCGATGGTGTTAATGATTCTCCCTCGCTTCGCCGTGCTGATGTTGGTATTGCAATGGGTGTTGCTGGTTCCGATGTTGCCAAGGTAGATATCTTCCACGTTGGTACTACGCTTCACAGAACATTGCTGACTTGTTGCAGGATGCTTCTGACATTGTGCTTTCTGACGACAATTTCGCCTCCATCTTGGCCGCCATCGAAGAAGGACGACGTATCTATGACAATATTCAAAAATTCGTTCTTCACGTTTTGGCCGAAAACGTCGCGCAAGCTGGTACTCTCCTAGTGGGTCTCGCTTTCAAGGACAGGACTGGGCTTTCGGTTTTCCCCCTTGCCCCTGTTCAGGTTGTCTGGATTATTATGGCCACGTCTGGTCTCCCCGACATGGGTCTTGGGTTCGAGCGCGCAGTCCCCGGCATTCTCCAACGGCCCCCACGCTCGCTCAAAGCCGGCATCTTCACCAT